GCTTCGTTCATCAATTGTAGGTGAAATATTCCGCATCAGCTAATCTTTATGCATCTTGTAGCAAGGATGGAGCAATAAAGGTAAGTCGGACTAACACAGCTCTCACACGTTGGCGTATGTGCGAACACTGCTAGGCAACGATTTTAAATGTGTAAAAGATGACACTTCAGTCAAACGTAGGGCATACGGAAGGGGAGCAACTTTGGCGCCCGCGAGCCAGTTTCCCGCGGGCAACATAAGAAACAACCAGTGTCTCGCGGACAAAAGCGAACGATTGAAACGTTTATAGAAATCTATAAAAGGAAATCAGAAGTAGGGAGAAGGAAGACATGAGACTCTTCGAACACAATCCTGCTGGATTACCGTTCTGTGTAGAGTTTTACCACAAAATGTGATTGACTTTTAAAACACAGTAACTTGATGGCTTGTGTGGTCGTTTGTAACTTGGAAGATGTAAAGAGCTGTGCGAGTGCGGAGCCGAACGGCCTTTCCAGACCGGCTCACTGAACCTGCCTTGTCCAACACACGTCAGCTTTCGTTATAACTTTGTTTAGGATTGCCTGCAGGGGGCTGTATGAGTCTAATAAATATGGATATTACGTTCGAAACTTTCTTTCATTTTTGTTGTAAATAACTTGGCACATGATAACACGTGTCCTGATTTCCTGTAGATCTGGGATGGAGTCAGTAACCGGTGCATCGCAACATTTGAACAGGCACACCAGGGTGGAGAGGTGAGTTTTGTACAGACACACCATTGTGCACAGGTTAGTTATGTACAGGCATACCGGGGTAGAGAAGTTAGTTTTGTGCAGGCACACCAGGGTGGAGAGATTAGTAATGTAAAGGAATTTGCGAGACTTATTTGTTCATATTGCTTAAAACAAAATCACTGTTGTTGAAAATTGTTGCGCACTGAGTCTACTTTGCCAAATAAGGGTCTAAAAGTCACAGCGTTTTCACTCTTGCCTCTCTCTCTTTGTTAACTGGTCCACTTTGCCTCTAATACTCCTTTTATGGCCTGATCCAGGCGTTCAGAAATAAAACTAAGCGAAGTAGTAAGTCATGTAAATGGCGCGATAGAAGCGGTAGAGAGAAACGACGGAGGCTTGGGTCGAGTCATCACCCGCCCAAACCTCTCTCTTTTTTCCACTCCTCCGCTATTATTGCCCTTCGTTTTGCTAACTGAAGGCCTGGATCAGGCTAATCTTCTTACAAAGATGGTTTTCTATGTTGCAGGTGTATTCTGTTTGTTTCTCTCAAAACGGAAAGGTAAGGAGAGAACATAATGATTTCTTTACTTAGTTCGTTTGCACTTCATACATATTTTTTTCGACAACAAAGGCTTACTTTAAAGCTAGTGGTTTTATTTCATCTTTTGTTAGTGTAGCATGTTCCAAACATTGAGGAAATTAAACGAAGCGCGATAAAGAACGGCGCCATAGTCGCGGAGGAGTGGAAAAACGAGAGAGGCTTGGGTCTGACACGTAATGAACCACTCGACCCAAACCTCCTACGTTATTCGCTCTGCTGCCGTTGTCGCGCCTGACGTTCACTATTTTGCATGGTTTTCGTACTGTTCACTTCCTAAAAGCTTGGAACATGCTGGTGTTAGTGCCTAAAAATGACAAAGATTTGACGTGTTTTTCGCTCAATACTTTTTACTCTTGCAGTATATAGTTTCAAGTGGAAAAGATTCTCGTGTGTACCTATGGGAACTCTCAACTGGTAAAAAAAATTTCAAAACGATAAACTTTTACTTGTTTCTATTTTATTTTGTTTTCTATTGTGGTTTTACCTTACCCCTTAAATCCCTAAGAGTGACCGGCTTCTAAATTCTCTCTACAGTATCACCCTTGAATCAAATGTAAATGTCATGAAAATAATGGTAATGATCACTAATGCAAAAAACTCGTGATGGTCAAACAAATTCTCCTTGGTATTACTATGGGAAATACAAAGAGAACAGTATGGAGAATATGAATGCTCATGTAATGGTGTCAACGGTTAACTTTTCCATAGAGTACAGAATGTGTCCTTAGTTCAGCATCAAGATGCTAAAATTTCAACCGTTGGTTATACTCCAACAAAGACTGTTTTTAACTCGTTCAATTTCGTTTTTAGGGAAGGCTCTAAGCATGTACATAGGCGCCACAATGTCAAACTACAGGACACAGATTGTTTTCAACCACACCGAGGATTTTTGTGAGTCCACTTTGATGATAATTGTTGTTCTTTGGGTTCTATCGTGAAAGTGCTGGAGAGGGAGAGGGGAAGCCTATTACAGAGAGGGAAATATGAGAGGGAGAGGCTTATTAGGGAGGGGCACTTACTAAGGAGGGGGAGCTTATTAGAAAAGGGGAGCTTGTTAGAGGGAGGGTCTCAAAGCCAAATTATAGGGGTACTTACTGAAGAAGGGGTGATAATTAGAGAGGGGGAGCTAATTAGAGAAGGGGAGCTTATTGGAGAAGGGGAGCTTGCTAGAGGGAGGGGCTTATAGCCAGAGAGGGGTACCTGCTAAGGAGGAAAGATAATAAGAGAGGGGAAGCTTATCAGAGAGGGGAAGCTTGTTAGGGAGGGGGAGCTTGTTAGAGGGTGGGGCTTAAAGACATGATAGGGAAGGGGTGTGTTAGAGAGGGGCTTATGTCCTATGAAGCTATAAGGAAAAGGGTTCATTAGATAGGAAGGTTTATAAGAGAGGGGGGCTCGTTAGAGAGGGGGGAGCTTATCAGAGAAGAGGACCATCTAAGAAATGGGTTATCTGAGAGAGGGCTCATTTGGGAGGGGGTTCACTTGAGATTGGCCCATTAGAAAGGAAGGGCTTAATAGAGCGTTACGATTTTGTGTTTTGCTAAATTTTTAACTTACTCAACTTTAATAGTGATTGCCGCCGACGAATCGAATAACAGTATAGCATGCTGGGACACGAGGTCAACAGAGCTGCAAAAAACTCTTAATTCAGGTATAAATAAAATTGGTTTTCTTGTTGCTGTGGAAAGTATTGCGATTTAGTTGTGGTTTAGAGATCGGTTTGCATGTCTTTACTTTTGTGTCACACATTGAATAATAACCTTCCACAACCAAAATAAAACAATCATAGTTTCGTGTTTTCCAGTTGCTAGTGTAGGATTGTGTGTATAGGGGATTTTATTATTCAAACTTAGCTTGTTTCGCTTGCTGCATCTCAAAATCGAGATGGATCACGGCGATATGTAGCAGTAAAGTTGTTTAAAGATTGCAGTTGGTTAACATGCGCGAATTGAAAGTTGTAACCTGAGCGCCATGTGGGAGTAAAATCGCCGATGTCAGCTTAACGGGATTTCGTTTTAATTAAGACCGCGTTCTGCAACGAGCGCACGTGATAAGTTGGTTCTTTCCACGTGCGCCACGGGCTTTCGTTTACATAAAAGCCGTGTTGTGAAACGAGCGCACCTGACAAGTTCGCTCATATCATGTGCGCCCCACAGGATGTTGAACAGACGGGCGAAGTGAAACTACGAAGGTGAAACATAACTCTGGGACTGGGACTGAATGCGCTAATATTCCATTTCTATACGTTTTCTTTCTTTAGGTCACAACAACCACATTCGCTGCATCACCCACTCCCCCACAGGAGCAGCGTTTGTCTCGTGTAGCGACGACTTCAGGGCGAGGTTTTGGTACTGTGAGGGAGTATAGAGAATTCCTCCACCGATTGCATTGAAAGCTTAGAATTCGTGTCCATTACGCCGATCTTAAACGCAACTATAAAGCTAAAGTTACAACCTCAATCTATCCCGAAATCGTCTCAGAGTTTCAGCCTTCTAGGTGCTTTACCTGTTATCTTAACTTGGATAAACTCGTTCGGCTTTGTGTAATTTGTGAGACTTTGAAATAAAATCTAACGCCAGTTTTCGTCTGTTGTTTTATTTATCATTACTATTAGAGCAATGTTCAATTGAGTTCAACTTTTGTTTTTGCATTATTTCGCTCCGCGATCAGTCCATAAAATACAATACAATACTTTATTTACCCACGCTACATCTAGGAGTGATAAAAACTCGCCTAGGAAACTCTCGCTAATCTCTCAACCAATCAGAAGCAAAACTAAAACTAATCACGACTTGTTCCTTTGCGTTTTCCCGCGCTTTTTGTAAGACCTTGCATCAGGAGAAAAGATGTAAACCACAACAACAATAGCTTGGGACTCTCTTCCAGCGACTCTTAGAGCTTAGAATAAACTTTTAAAGATAATTATGATCATAATGTTAATGACAGAGCAATTTTCAATTGTGTGTCGAAAGTAATCCATAATTGCTTCTTTCTTTTTGCTCTTCTTCGCTTTGTGATTGGTCCAGAAAACTCGTGCCAATCTCTTAACCAATCTGCTGCTAAACTAAAACCAATCACGGGGTAGTTTGAGTTGATAACGTAAAATGGGTCATTAATACCAATTTACCCTGTTAGACTCTCCTATCGAAGCAACACTACAGTTTCTTTAAAAACTTTCCCCTTTTCATAAAACCAATCTTTCTTCTGCGTTTTCTTGCGCTTTAGGAAGTTTGGTCGGATTTACTTTGAGGTCTCTTAAAGGTATTTTCTTTTCTTCCGATTGGTCGTTGTAATTACTCTGGTTTTGGTTTTATGGCTCTCGATTGAAAAGCGCTCTATGGCTCTTATCATCATTATTGTTAGTATTATACTACAGTTTAGGTTCAATAAATGAACAAATGCCTTAACCTTACGCCTTGAAGTGATTTACATGTGAATTCTCCATGCAAAACTATCTACACGTTATCTATATAATAACAAATCAGAATACACCAACTCAT